AGAGAGAGAGAGAGAGAGAGAGAGAGAGAGAGAGAGAGAGAGAGAGAGAGAGAAAGAGAGAGACTCACCCTGACTTGCATTCCTCGTTGTGCTCGAGTTCGTTCTTGATCATATTAACCATGATCTCGTCGCTGACGAGACCACCGGCGTCCATGATCTTTTTTGCTTCCTTCCCCAGCGGTGTCTTTTTTGCGACCTGCGAGCGCAGCATATCACCGGTTGCCTAGTAAAACCAATTAGCCCAACAATCTCCTCCCGGATCATACACAGATATGAATGCACATATATGAATACGCATAGATAATAAAAATGCGTAGAAACCAAAAAAAAAGGATTTGAGATAGGAAGCATACCAAGTGGCAGATGCAGTATTTGTCTTTGATCCTCGGTGCCTGGGTTCCCTTTCCTATACAGCAGAAGAAGAAGAAAAAGCACCTGTAAGCCCCACTATCGCTCGATACGCAATGGCACGTTTTTTCTGCTATTTCCCTTCGTCGTTTCGTTTCTTTTATTCTGTTTCTCTTCTTTTCCTTTTTTTCTTCTTTCTTCTCTCCTCCCGATTGATATCGGCCAGGCCGAGATTTTTTCTTGTGTACATATATATTACTTTATATTGTTTTTTTATTGTATTTTGATTGTGAAATGATCGCGAGTGGTTATATTTTGACCCTTACCGGCACCTGGAGGACCCATGAGGATCATTCGTAGTTGTTCGGCAGGCGACAGGGCCTGGCCGCCTTCAAGCTGTGATATCCGCTGTTCGAGACCAGCTACCAGCTGTTTCAGGTAGCTCACTTCATCATTTGTTGGTGGCATTTTGTATGGATGTGGAGGGGAAGAGGGTTTTAGGTGGTGGTGGTGATGTTGGTGTGGTGGTGGTGGTTGTTTGTTCGAAGGGATTGCGACTGGAAGAAGGTTTATTGATGTTTAGTTAGCACGAGTCTTGCGGGAGACCGAAACCAAATAATACATCTCGGCTCCGGTTATTTTTTTTTTTTTTTTTTTTTTTTTTCTTCTCTCTTTCCTCCGTCGGTCTCTTTTAAAAGAAAGTATCCCGCAAGAAGAGAATTCATATGAGAGAGAGGGAGAGGGAGAGAGATCTTACAGGATAGGATAGGATAGGATAGGATAGAATAGAATAGAATGGGACAGGCTGGAATTGATGGGAGACAGAGTGTGTGGTGGGGGAGTCTGTTGTCGTGGGATATGATATTTGGCGGATTTTGGTGGTGGCGGCAATTTTGACGATTAATTTGGTGAACACCGGCTTGTACTTATATATTATACATCTCACTTCAAATAATCGAGATAAGGTAGGTACTTAAGTAGGTATGCTGCAGGTACGATAGCTTTGATGACTTATAATCCGGCCTCGGCCATTCATCAATTCGCGGAAGATATATATATATATATATATGTATGTATGTATATATAATACTAGTATAGTATGCCATGGATCTTGAAGCTGAATCTGAATCTGAAGCCGGAGCAAAGGAGCTCATCACAAGAGCCGACAAGCATGCGCAACGGAAAGCCGGAAGCCGTAGGGTGGCTACCGCCTGCCCGTAGCTAGCTTCCTTATAATTACATGAATCCTTCCTTTTCTTTCTACTATAGACCGATCAGTTCAATAATTAATTCATACTTAGTACATAGTAGTATTACTATCATAATGTATGGGTTTGTAGGTTTAAAGCGTGGCTGCGTTGGAGTTGTGATATTTTAAATTTTATCTTTTATATCTTCCAATCCAATCCAATCGAACCCACCACGATATATATATATATAATACGTACATAGTACACATCATGGCCACTGTCAACGTGCCCTTCCTGATATCAAAGTATGTACCGGTCTAATCATATTGGAATATAAAATACTGATCCACCTCATCAATAGAATCGGAGACCCGATCTTTGCCGCCTTCATCGGCTCGACCGCTGCCATCCTCAGGATCAGACGGGAGGAGCATGACAGAGGCCTTCCCTTAAACCAGCTCTGGCCCACCCTTCGCAGGTCAGTTCCTTCCTTTCCCTTATTATACATATGATACTTCTCTCTCCAAAGTATTTACAAAGTATTTACTTAAATTTAAGTACCTACTAAGTAATTACTTAAGGGAGTATAATGTGTATGTGTGGATGTTTATCAAAGTGTGCATCGGCTGAATATTATATTTATATGTAGGCGCGCTGGCTTGATCTTCGCATAGTTTATATAACATACTCAAGTAGATATAGATATAGATACAGATATAAATATAAATATAGCCAAATCCATCTCAATCATTTACTTAAGTAATTAAGTAATTAAGTAAGTACCTAAGTATATATATATAATATTGGGAATGGAATGGAATGATCATGATCGATGGTGATACATGATAGCTAAGAGGTTCTGACTTAATAAAATTTGTGAACGTGAAGAATGAACCTCGGCTGTTTCGTCGCCCCTTTACTTTCCCCGTTTCAACCAACCTTCGCGCCAGGCCAGGCCAGCCTTCTTTTCCCTCCCAATCCTCCACCACCACCACCACATCATCATTCATCATCATCATCCTCATCATCGTCGTCACCTTTGATAACTACCTAGGTACTCACTTACCTATTTACTTACCTACCTATCACCAACCCCTCCTCCCCTCCTCTTTCCTCTCCCCTCCCTCTCGCTTTCTCAGCCTCATCCAAGTCTATCTCTTCTTCCTCTTCTTCCCCTCGATCGGCCACAATACCCTTGCCGTAGACGTACACAAACACACACATACACACACCAAATCAGCTTTGTTGTTTACCTCTCGCGTCGCTTACGTCAAAACACAACCACCGTGGCTATCGCCAACACCACCAACATGGACGAACACTCGCAATCCGATTATTCTACCAACGATAGCGCCTTGAGTCTTCCCAAAAAATGGCTTACCTTGTACGAAGACTTTGTCACCAAAAATGCTGGCGCCGTATCGCAGATTGAATCCTCGCTTCGGTCCCTGACCTACATCGTGCCTGGTATGGGACCTCATCCATATATTATACCTATATACAAAAATTCTTAAATACCCACTGTTGGGGGACAAATAAAAAGATAAATAAAATAAAATAAAGTAAAGTAAAAATACTAATTCGGCGCGTTTGATCCCTCTATAGCCAGATTTAAGGATGCAGAAATCGCCTCGGAGTCCAGTAAGCACTGCTAAAATACTTTCAATCCTTCACATTCATTGTCTCTAATTCTCCCGAACCGCAGTCCATAGTGGAATCCAATTGCTATCACTTTACCACGATTCGCTACTTTCTAGAGCCATGAAAGCCCTTCCAGCCTCGATCCAAAGGCCGCCTCAGACCCCTCACGCTCGCTACACAAGATTCTGGACTCAAAAGAGCTCGGCATACAAAAATATTGCTTTGATGGTTACCATGATTCAATATACTGAACTACTATGGGAAATGGCGGCGAGGAGAAAAGGTCAGAGGATCAGATGGAGGGTAGTTGTTATTCTGGAGGCTATCAAAGCCGTCTGTCGACTACTGTTACTACACCTTACCAAGTCAAGGCCGATAGTCAGCCCCCCGCTTCCGGAACGCGAGGTTGACCCGGCTCAGTTAGAAGATGCCGATTCCATCAGCAGCCCACCGCCGGAACCCGAATCTTGGACAATGCCGAGAACCGGACAAAGACTACCATCGATTCCAGCCACTGATATCCCGAATTTCCTTCTTACTAAGGTCCTAACAGCAGAGGATATCAAACCTCCAGCCCAACTATTGCATAAGTTGAAGGGAACCGGGATGATAGCCGAGATCCTCTGGGTTGTCAGACCCGTGCTCTACGCTATGGCAATGCAGAAGTGGCGACACGATAAAAAGAGTTGGAGACCATGGTTGATTGGATTCGGTCTTGAGTATGCCGCTCGCCAGCTGGCGAAGAGGGATATGTCCGAGACAATCCCCGGTGGGCTCAGGGGGCTCACCGGCCTTGAGAAGGAAGAGCTCAAGCGACGAGCCATGTCAATGGGATGGTGGGCCCTTCGTGGTGCTGCCTATGAGAATATCACTAGGTAAGATAAGATATTACTCCTTCTATTTCATTCTACCTTCAGCTTTTTTCTTTTTCTTTTTTTAAAGCTAGTTCTAACTAACTTTTTATTAGGGCATGGTTCACATACGTCTCCGAAAAGCTCAAAGATAAGCCACTCATCGGTCTTCTGGGTGGTCTTATTCAAGATTACCAATACCTTTGGGACAACTATTATTTCTCGAGTATGTGATTTATAACTACTTATATATCTAAAGAATCACCATATCTCTTTCCTCTTTTTCTTCTTCTTCTCCCCCCTTCCCCTGCTCCCACCACTCTGTCACTTACAACGACGAGAGACTGATTCGCGCTTTCTTTTTTCTCTTTTCCTTCTTCTCAACTACACAGCAGCGACTTAATACTCCCTTTCGATTCTCAATCCGCCGGACGGGGTAATAACATCATTACAACTACTCCCTTGCTTCACTCCTTTTTTTACGACCATTGCTTTTCCCAGTCGACACTTCAGAGCGATTCTTGTTATACGGTATAGGGTAATTTCGGCTTCTTTTTTTTTGCTACTTTCTCTCGTTCCTAATGTCTGTCTCTGTGGGCGCTTGATCTCATGTATATTATTATTATCATTATTTGGGGGAATCTTCCGGTGACAATCCTACACGCTTTTCTTTTTTTTCGCTTCTCGGAAATGGTTGACTTTTATATTGGATTCCCTCCCCGTCCCCTTCTCCTCCAGGTTAGAGAGCACGGGCGACTCGGACGGCATCGTTAAGGGCTCTAAGAGATGTATATATACGATGAGGAATACCAAGATTGTACATGCATGATCCATCCATCCAATTACCTGATGCCATCTAATTTAGTCCTCGTTCTGCTTCAATCTCTTTTTCATCCACGATGATAGCAACAAGACGGAAAATCTGCAACAATAATGTCAACCCGAGAAGGAATTCCGAAGTCAGCACCACCTGGGCATCACCGTCGCTCCCGATTGAAGGTATGTTACTTAAATGGGCAAGTAGGTATGTACCATGGACATCCCCTCCAGGGTTGGTAACGATTATGATACAACCCGGGAGGTATATATACGAAACAGAGAGCCAATAAAATCTTCCAAAAACGCTCTCAAGTTCCCAAGATCTTAGCTACAAACCGTGCAAAATGACAATTTCATATAAGCATTCCCGCGGCCTCTTAGCTCTTACTAGTGCCGTAGGACTTTTTCCAAGAACAATTAATAAAAATTAATTTTTTTTTTAAAAAAAAGAGAGATGAGAATAAAGCAAAGTAAATATAATAGGCACAATAAAATACAGCAGAACCTCGTCATTGAACCATATAGAGAATGACGTGTACTATCCACCATTAACCAAAGGTGCACGGTAGACGACGGTGGACAATCACCACCACCACGAGGTACCAAACGCTATAAGATCATCGTTTTATCTCACATCCTCCTTCCAAGAAAACATCCTGTGTTTAGGGCAGGTTATAATCTTGCACCTTTCTAAATCGTGCCGGAGTATGCATGTATTGACGAGACAGATTTACGTGATACAATAAGTATCTTCTGGGATACCCGAGGCCAGAAAGTGGGTCCTGGTTGCCTGAAATTGGGTGGGTCCCACGCAACGGATCGAGATTGTCGGTAAACCGGTTTGGTTCGTTCGCCTATCAATCCATTCCATCCACAATATAATATAATACCGGCTAAACCCTCAAATTCTCAATGATATCGACACAGGGGATCTCCCTCTGATTAGTTTCTGCTCGGCAGAAAATCCTTCTTTTGTATCATAAGTGATAGCTTCCTTTTTAAAGTTTTACGTGGGGAAGATGTAATTGATTAATTTTTTTTAATTTGCATTTATCATTACCACTACAAAACAAAAATCGCACGATAGGGTTTAAAGCACTATGGGGGCGAGGAAGGGATGGCTGCTTCTCTGATGGTAGGTAATTAGAATAGGGAAACAGTGTGTCATCTTGGTGCAGCAAAAAAAGCATCTCCTTTTCCATTCTTCCATTCCTCGACAATTTCAAGAAACGAGAGAACATGTGAATATTCTTTCTATACAGGAAAAGAAAAAACACAAGAACGAGAAGCCTTTCTGACTTGCTGATTGCACACCGTAATGGCAAAAGAGGGAACAAACGATCACTTCTCCACCATATAATGAGAAGCCACTTGTGCGAACAATTACTATTAATACAGGAAACGCCAACACGATCTATAAAAGAGGCTTTTACGCGTTCTTCTCGTGTTGTGTAGAGACACGTTGCATAGAGACAACTAGATGGATATGTTAGCATATGATTGATCGTGTAGACAAGTGAACAATGTAAAGACTTACCGAAATCTTCCAAACTTCTCTGCTTCTGCTTCTGCTTGGGTGATTTGCCGTGCATGAGATTGTCGAATCCAATCGAGCCCTGGAGCAAGTAGTAGACACCACCCATGACGCAGAAGATACCGAAGGAGAAAATCCAGATACGGACGACGGCGACGATGGAAGTGCGAGAGTGCTCGAACCAACCGAAGATGGTGAAGAGAGTAGCGATGATGTCGACAAGCAAGATGGCACCGCTCAATTCCCAGGATGGAATGGAGGACCAGAATGGACCATTGGCACGGGTGATGAAGATAAGCCAGTTCTCAGTCAAGGAGATTTCCAAGAAGAGGACTTCGTCACGGTTACCGAAGTTCTGGACAATACCTCCGAATTGGTTACCGCCGGGGGTGGGGTCGTTATGCGCAAGCATAGTAGTGAGAGTAATCCAAGTACCGATGGCAAGGACGACACCGAGGAGGACGGACATACCCCAGAGCTTGGGCAAGTTCCACTTAACTGGAGTCTTGGAGAATGGAGCGTTATCGTAGGCGATGGCCAAGGTGGCAATATCGGCGAAGATGGCGATGAAGACGACAAGGTTAAGGTTGAGGGACTCGTTCAAGATGGCAATCCAAAGACCCAAGAAGATTTCCAAATGGAGAGACAAGGCGATACGGTAGACGACGTAGGCGTACATACGATGGAAAATTTGACGGGAAGTCTTAAGAGCGTCGATGATAGCAGAGAGACCAGGAGCCAAGAAAACAATATCGGCGGCAGAACGGGCAGCGTCAGAGGCACCCTCGACGGCAATACCAGTATCGGCTTTCTTGAGGGAAGGAGCATCGTTGACACCATCACCAGTCATAGCAACAAGGTAACCACGCTGTTGGAGAATTTCGACGACGTTGTACTTGTGTTGGGGGAAAACTTCAGCGAAACCATCGGCAGCTTCAACGAAATCGTAGACTTCAGAACCAGGCATTTCACCGCCACCACCGAGACCAAGACGTTCAGCATTGTAGACATTGGTTCCGAGACCGAGTTGGCGGGAGGTTTCACGAGCAATACCGACAGCGTCACCAGTCAACATCTTGATGGAGAGACCGAGAGTCTTGGCTTCATTGATAGTGCGAGCGGTATCGTGACGTGGGGGATCAGAGCAAGGCATGATACCAAGAATTTCCCAGTGACCTTCACCACGCTTGCGGGCAACACCAAGAGAACGGAAACCACGAGTAGCGAATTCGGCAACCTTGTTCTTGTAGTCCATGGCGATCTCCTCCGGGATGGGGTGGTCCTCCTCAACAGTTCGGAGAACGAAAAGTGGGGCACCCTTGACGCAGATTATACGTTCACCTTGGGGAGATTCGACAACAGCGGTAACCTTCTTGGAGACAGGGTCGAAGGGGTGGAATTGCAAGACCTTGTAGCGGGAGAGAACAGACTTGGCGCGTGGGTAGAACTTGAGAGACTTCAAGAAGGCCTTGTCAATAGCGTCAAGACCCTTCTTCTTGCGGGAGGCAGCCAAGCAGGCAGTAAGCATGAGGTCATCGGCTTCGACACCCTCGACGGTATAGGGTTCAGCGAGGGAGAGCTTGTTCTTGGTCAAGGTACCGGTCTTGTCAGAGCAGAGGATTTCGACACCAGCGAGAGATTCAATAGCAGAGAGCTTCTGGACGATGGCCTTCTTCTTGGCGAGGTAGGCAGCACCGACGGCCATGGTAGTGGTAACGACAGCTGGAAGACCGACTGGGACACCGATGATAGTAATAGCGAGGGTGAACTCCAAGATGTGGACGATTGGGTTGGATCGGTAGAAAGAGGCAACCCAGACGACAAGAAGGGTGAAGATGACGAGGATCAACAAAACAGTACCAATACCGTTCAAGACTTCGGTGAAGTGACCAGTACCGGCAGAAGCGCGAGAGACGAGAGCAGCGGCGCGACCGACGAAGGTGTTGTCACCGGTGGCAGTGACGACCATGAAGGCCTCACCACGCTTGATCGAGGAGGAAGCATACATGTTGTCACCCTTGTGCTTGTCAACGGCGAGAGATTCACCGGTAATGGCGGACTGATCGACCTGGAGGAAGGCATCTTCGGTAACAATGCGACCATCGGCGGGAACAATGGTACCTTCTTCGATTTGGAGAATATCACCGGGAACGACCTGTGGGGCTTCGATTTCAAAGAGACGGCCGTCACGGAGGACGACGGCCTTGAGGGCAAGAGTCTTCTTCAATTCGTCGACGATGGAACCAGCTTGGAATTCTTGGAAGAAACCAACGCAAGCGTTAAGGAGCAAGAGACCACAGATGACACCGAAATCAACCCAGTCCTGAAGACCGGCAGCGAGAATAGCGGCAGCCTGATTGGTTGGAAAAACATGCAAGTTAGCCTTGGCTGTGTCACCTAAGGGTCAAACAAGCTCTTTATGGAGCCGACCGAGACCCGAAACGATGTGATAGGGCAGAAAAACTCACCTCCATGACGAACTGAATAGGACCAACAAAGTACATAAGAAACTTCAAGACGAGATTTTCCTTCTCTTCCTTCATTTGATTGAGACCGTATCGCTTCCTTCGTTGGTCAACCTCAGCAGAAGTCAAACCAGTACGAGTATCCGTCTTAAGGAGGTCCTCAGGGACAGGACGAGCACTGGCGCCGACTTCGGCCTCTTCATCCTCCTCGAAATTGTGTTCATCTTCAGACTCGAGGTCATCGATCAAGGCGTCGATGTCTTCGATTTCTTCGTCGTCGTCATCGAGAGGTACGCCTTCCGACTTCTCAGCGGCGGGAGCCTGCTTTTCGGGGTCAAGAGCTCCACTGGGGATGGAGTGCTTGAGGTGATCCGGCTCTGTCGAGCCGGCACCGGTTGCGTGAGGAGCCGACATCGTTTTGTATCCGTCCGTAGACTAAAAGTCCACTATTTAAAAGAAAGAAAGAAAATGTTAGAATTGCCTGTAACCAAAGATGGTATATTGTTTTTATCCCTCCGTATCAAGATGTGTTGCGGGGTGCAGACGAGTCAAGACAGAGAAGGAACGAATGAAACAGATGGAAGAATGGAAAAGGACGATGATATCCAAGGTCAAGGTCAGTCAAGCATCCAATTCAATTCAATATCTAACAATGCCAAGCTGTGTAGGCAATGACGATGATGATTGATGAAGAAGGATGAAGCTAGACGATGAGACAGGTAATCGATTGTGGTAGAGGTAGAGGGGAGTGGATGGATGAAGCTATGTGGAGCGATGTGAGGTGAGGGAGATGGAGATGGAGGCAGAGGGGCGGGATAGGCGTAGACAGGACAACGCCGATGGTGGTAATAATAACAACAATCTGCGGGAGAATTGCAAGCAGACCAGCAATTCATCACTCCAAACCACAACCTACAACCCACAAGCACAGGTCACCCACATGCTAATGTGAATGCTAGACATACAGACACACACAAGCAAAAGGACTTCCACTTCAGCCTGGCTGGACTTGGACTTGGACTTTCCGGAAACGAATGGGAATTAAAATTCCACGTCGTTCTCATTTGTCTTTCTGCTGTTAATCGCTCTTTCGCTCTCCATGCTTTGCGCCGGTTTCGCGAGTGAGAGATAACAGGTCTGAAAGAACAAATAGAACAAAAAAAAGCCTGATGCCGCCAAGACTCGGAATACCTTCTGAACAATTCCTCTTCGACACGCAGAGGAATGGTGAACGAACGAGCCGTTCTTCCATTAGTCTGGTTCCAATTGGGGAATGACTAGGCAAGGTACGGCATGGTCCTCACATGCCTCCGTGGAAGGAAGGGCGGCCAGCCTTATTCATCATTGCATGCATAAACAACGCTCGTGCGTGAGAGAAGCGCCTGAAAATCCAAGGTTCCGAGGATCAGAATCCTTTTTGATTTTTTTATCGATCCCTCACTTTCCGAATACGAGTAAATGCAAGTAATGAAGGACATGGCTTGGGGCATGGAACTTTGTTCCTCACATGACGGATAGAGGGCAAGGGTACATAATGCCAATGGCTGGGGAGTTTGTGTGTGTGAGTGCGTGTTTGTTTGCCCGTGTCTCAATCCCATTTTTATTTTATTCTTTTTTTTTTTTCCGCCGCTGCAAGATGACGGCGATGACAAACGGGGAAAAGGCCGATGGAAGCCATCCACTGCGCTAAAACACGTCTTCCACCACTGGCTTTCTTATCAATTGGTGAGTGAGAGGAAGGGAAAGCGGGAAAGCGAACATATCATCACCACCATCACTAAGCCGATTTATCGATAATGAACCCGAAGAAGGACCAAGCCGTTTTATTGCGTGTTTGCGCACGAACCGGCCCTTCTCGGTACCGCTTCAGCGAAATGATGGCGAGAGAGATAGAGAGACTATTCCTGAACCCTGGAAGGTTTTCCACATTTCCTCCAATCGAATTGAACGAAAGCATTATATAATGGTGTCTGATAGTGTAATGCCAATGTGCCTTGTCGCCTTTTTATCTTACTCCACCATCGATTGCGCAGTGATAACGGGTGATAACACTTCTTCCTTTCTTTCTTTTCCTTCCTTTCTTTTTCCTTCCTTTCTTTTTGTCGGAGAGAAAGAGATGAAGAAAGAGGAAGAAAGGAAATAAGAAAGAAAGAAAGAGAGTGTATGTGTGTGCGTGTGCTTGTGTTCCAATTGCGTGTATACACCCACAGGATGTATGTGTGTGTGAATAAAGAAGCTTACCTTAGACTAAAGACTGATCACTGTAGTTGGAGTATTTTGAATGAGGATGAGAAGGATGAAGAGAAGGATTGAGGGAGAGAAGGAAGGGAGGAGAGAGAGAGGATGGAGAGAGAAGAGGAGAAGGAATTGGGAGAGTGTGGAATAGAAAAGAAGGGTCGGGAGGAGGAAAGATGGAGGGTTTTGTACTCGAAGAGGTCCTCCCAGCTGCACTCTGTGATGGGATGCTGCACGCCTAAATTTTCCCACGCTCGATTGCAGTGGATGGGGGCAACCTCACAGGCCCGGACAGGACAGGACAATAACCACCGGCGAAGCGAGCGGTTTTAGCGTCTTGACAAGGGTCTTCGACTACGTGCAGGCAGCTGCAGGCCTGCACGAAGGATGTCTTTCGAAAAACTGGGATTTCCTCCGCTTTGCTTTTGTTTGATTCTGCCCACACTCTTCTCGTACTTGGCACGCTTGATCTCGTAGGTAATGGAAAATGCCACGGCTAGCGTCACTCACGTTTTTGTATGAATGTATGTGTCTGTCGAGGTTTTTTTTTAGGTAAAAAAAAAAAAAAAAAGTCTCGTTTCTTCTTCCTCCTCGCGCGAATCGATCCCGTTGCGGTTCCGGGGTTTTTTCGAACTCTTCGATTCGAAGGCGGGTATGTAAGTAGGGAGGTACCTAATTAAAAGAAAAAAATCGGGGCCTGGCGATTAAACGTAAAGAAATTAGATATACGTGGTTGTACGTATATGTGTATTAATCCCGTAAATGGGGTTTTGATATGAAATAAATTAGATATTAGAGTAGATGTTTAAAAAGTAATGTAAGGATGTAAAGGTAAGTAGTGGATTCGTCGAAGTCGCTGCTGACCCGGCTGGCTCTTGCTGGCTTGCGATCTTGTCCGTCTCCTACCAGGCGCTGTACCTCGATACTTATGCTTCTCTCGAATTCAACTTCGATGTAATAATTAACGTTCTTTCTCTTCCAGAGAAAGGAAAGAAGAAAAAAACATACTACTGCTACCGATACTACTGCTGCTGCTGCTGCTGATGTTGCTACCGCTACGAACAATGAAGCTTTTCTCTACCCTCTTCTCTTCTCTTAGCTTAATCGCTTCGCAATTTGATCTGATACATTCGAAATCTCCTGCTCGTAATGCAGTCCAGCGTGGTTTACAACTCGACCTCAGTTATCGCATACACGGTTTTGCTTGGAGTAGAAGGAACCAAGCCTGCACTTCTCGACCTTTTGGCATGTCCACCTGCACCATGCCATGGGGTTCCGGGATGGAGCCAATCGAGCCAGCGATGAAAATCGGCAGGCTAACCACAAAAAAGAAACAGTTCAGATGCTGCATGGGTGGCCCTTCACAGGGCTCCCTCCCTGCTCCGTTCCAGCCCAGAAAACCTTCGGCCAACCCTCTTTTCGAAAAGAACTCACACCGTCGAAGACCAGAAAAAGAAAGACTGCCTAAAGAGGTTCTCCTCGGCGGATTTGCCGTCAAGGGTTCGGGAGCGCTCGCTGTTCCCTCATCCAACGGCCGCTCTCCAATTGGAAATCGAATCTGACCATCCTAGGAATTCAAGACTCTGTCGAGACAAATGACGCCAATGAGAGGCGAGGCGAGCGCCCCGTGCCTCCAGCTTCCCCGTCTTGACCTTTGCATCGACATGCTTCATCCCGGAACTCGTGAGCCTCGGCGTCGGCGAGGTATGCATGTAGTTACTGTACAGTTACCTCGGATTCTTCACCGTCGGTATTGTCGCGTGCCTTGATAGCACCGTATACATAATGGCTGGTTACTTACGTGCATGTATGTTATCGTTGCTTCCGCGATTTGCCTGAAAGCCTCTGTTCAGGCGACCTGAAGCATGATATCATGCCTCCGAAGAAAGGCGCTAGCCAACGAGACAGCATAAACGTCTCCACCGGGCCTTATCAGCATGATCAAAATTCACAAATATCGCAAAATACCCTTGATCACAATGCTCTTAATGTCAATGGGACACGATGCAGCCAGCTATGCAATGCACACATTGTAAATTATACAGAACTATCAAGGTTTATGGTGAATTTATGAGGTTTGTTCCAAATCTCTAGTCGCTCTAAACGCTTGTGTATACCGATTAAAGCGCCATATCAGTCGCAAAGAGGAAGCTTCCATCAGGACGGGAAGGACCGCATCTCGCCAAGCTCAACCGACACAGGCGCCAGAACCAAATCGAACAGAAGGAAGGGGAATCTTATCACCACGAAGGGTTTTTCCAATATGATAGCTCATGAAAGGTATCTAGACCGGCTTCGTGAAGTGAAGATCACTTCCAGGCAACTACCAAAGGCCCAGTCCGAAATACAGCAGCCAACGACGCCGAACTGGGCATATGCATTCAAATGATATGATTTGCTACCATTGGAACGCCGATAGTAGCTAACAATGGCTAGCAGTACACGGTAGCTGCTCTGTACTTACTTACGGACAGACTCACATACCTAAGTAGATACTTACCTAATTATGATAGTGCAAAGTGCGACCCTATCGGTGAGTATTTAGGTTATCACATCACACATATACGCCAAGAACATAACTATCAACGGCGATTTCCTAGAATCTTCAAGAATGTGAACCGCCGCAGTTCCAGACCGTACATTTTTTTTATAAAAGAAAAATTCCTCTGCAGAAGCTTGGTTGCTTGTGTTTTGTGATATTGTGCTTCGAAGATCAAATTTCCAGAATTGCTGGGCGATGTGAGGTTCACCAGATGCTCCGAAAAGAGAAATTGCCAAGTACCGATCAAGGGACCATAAATGTGCATCAAGTAGTTGGCATCCTATGCAAATTTCAGCAATCCCATGGGGGGTGCAAGGAGGTCGTTCTTGGCCGCTCCTCTCCAGGCAGATGATGTCGAGGGACCTTCTCGATCCTCAGGGTCCGGCACAACATGCCAAGAACTCATTAGCCAGCGGCCTTCCCACGATGCTTCGTGTGCGAGTTTATCTGTAAGTACATGTATGATACCAAATTCTCTGGAGCTCTTCTTCTTCTGAATACCAAATATGTTAACATGTTCCTTCAAGCAGGATTAGCTACCCGTCGCTCTTTCGGAGCATTTCTTCAGGATTTGAAACAATACTCATTTATAGTTACAGCTCGCATGCATGACGATGATGTATAATTAATGCGACTAGCTAAAGATTGACAACGTTAATGGTTCATCAAACGTGTCCGTGCCTGTTCGATCGATTACCTATGTCTCTCTGAATCAATAACGCCTGTCTATTCTTCCGCAAAATTCCCGCCTGTAAAACCTTAGTCCCCTCTTCCCGCTTCTGACCGGGACTTCCCCAATGGTCTCGGGAGGGCGCTCTGGTTTCATAGATGGAACATCATTATACTCGCGGAGCACTCGCCACGTCGCCCTTTCCCAGCGAAGCAAGGGAGCATATATGGCAAATGCCTCGAAACGATGGCTAAGCATTCCAAATCTATCGAGCGGATATTAAAACATCAGCTCACTATTCTTCAGCACCATTCGCAAGGACCTCCTACCTTGGCCTCAAGAGAGGATTCATTGCAAATGTAGGTATCGGGCTGCAACAGGAATACCTCGAGTTGAACAGGAGGGAATAACTTTTTAACTTTTTCCTTGCAGTGGAACCGATCACATTGAGGGTTTTTCTTAGTATCGGATGCCTAAGTTCCAAGACCGTCTAGACTTTGGTTACGACCGACACTAGCCTTCTCAAGATTACCGGATTCTGTCGCCTCTTACCAACGTCGCCCTGGTCCTGCCTCGCGCCAAGTAATCGCAAAGGTAGGGACGTCGCACAAAATTTCGATCACTAAGGCTGCGGCCTGCCGACAAACGTTGGGCGTGCGACGGAGAAATTATTTATATTGGGAATGCATGGCATGGCATGGCGCGGCTCTGGCAGGGTCATCGACAGTGGAGATGTTACACAACGCTGGTGATACTAAGATATCACAACCACGATGATTCGATACGCTTCTTCCCTTTTTCCTTTCCCTCGGGGCCATTCTGATCAACCTCGGTGACAACCCCGACCCCCCATTTTTTTAATTTCCTTGTCAGCCCTCGGGGCCTCTTCCAAATCCTCCAGCCTACTAATCACAATTTGAATATTCCTCCGTATTCCTATGAGAGAATGATATCAATTTTCAGACCGAAAATGCTACCTAAAAATCACTGCACTCCTAGTTCTGTTTCATCCGAATTGTTCCTGCTCGCACGATACCCAGTTCCGACCTTCAAGTCCCGACTGAGGCGAATGCGCGAAAAAAAATTCGCATAAGTCTGAGACGTCATCATGCAGCCCGAGCTTTGCGGGAGACATTAGCGAAAATACTATCCCGGCTCCATCCATCGGGATTCAAGGCTTGCTGCGTTTGGGCTTCAACGCGGCAAATTCGCCACACAGGTTCCTTGCCTCACCGACGCAAGAAATTTCATGAATTTCAAGAAGATGAAGAAGGTTTTTCCTCCCTCAAGTCGTTCCTGAATAGAGGGCTATCTAAGACACGGTGAGCCAAAGAGATTGCGTCGGCCCGCCCATGGAGACCCTTCACCAAATTATTCTCCAGTGCCGACAGCCGAACTGGCAAGACTTGCCAAACTGAAGCTAAAGTCACCGCTTCGTCTGCCAAAAGAAAGAAAAACAAGTCAGCAATTCAGCAAGAAAAAGCCGCATTCACGTCCCGTGTCGATGCTCAAACGCTGGCGCAAATTGGCCCAACGGGACAGAACCGGCATAGCTGTTCAGGTACCCAAAAGCTTATCTTCTGTCAGAAAAGCTTCATAGTACAAAGTATCCACATATCCAAGGAAGAACACCCAGCATCAGCGAATAGGAACCATGGGCAACATCCTAGAAAACCCCTTTTGCATTTCAGAATAGGGAATATCTCATAGCTAATTAATATGCACCTCGTTAATCTAGAGAACCTCTTCCACGGTCGAAGACCTCGTCAACGGCCGAAGGTGGAAGCTCCGTGCGAAACCACCTGAAGTTCTCATCAGAATGCCTCGAACAGACGAGGTGAGCATTTCCTCTATTCCACTTCATGTCTTTGAAGCCACCACCAGTACAGCAAGCTTGACCCCTCGAGGGAAAGGGGGAAACGCAGTTCATTACAATTTTCCCGTCGTGTGACGTGGGTTTGTGCCCTGAGATGTATTGCAGAATAGCGAAGTCTCGACTTGGTATCGTGATATCAGGCAGGTGGATGCAATATAATTAGGTAGATTCGAGCAAAATATTTTCAAGGCCTTCCATTTGCAACAACGGAGAAAAATCCAACATCAGAAATAATGCCCGCTAAAGGAAAATAACTTAAAACAGTTCAGGCAAAACCCCAACTCAGGTACTCACTGGATGCAAATGGCCTAGCTGTGAACCGGTACATACATGCTCCAAAGCAGACGAGCTCCCAGCTTCGAGAACAGAGCTAGGAAGCTTTAGCTTCCTTTCGAATCGAACGCTTCTGAGACCTCCGAACAATAAACCGTTCTGGCGGTAGGGATGTTTTTCCTGAACCATTTCCTAGCCGGGTCGCGATACGGTAGGATTCCCCGTACGAAACACGTCCTTCTCTGATAAACGCCTGAACTTTGACTTGCAATACATATGACAAAAGGCAACGGAAATTAAGAGGTGGGTAGCCAATTTCAGTAAGGTCGGCCCCAAAGACCAAAGAATGGAGTAATCTTCGTTGAGATGAGAAACCCCCCACGCCGAATCTGGCTTAATGGCGCAAACCTCGGAGCAGAAGAAAACCAGCCAACCACCCGGCTAGTAGAGTCGGCGTCGGCGATGACTTCCTCGGAATTGGCCAGTGCTGTTCAATGTTGGTTGGGGTTCAGAAAGACTAATTAAATTATTTTTTTTGAAAAAAAAAAATTGAAAAAAATCGCAAGCCTCAGTGGTGCCTGAGCCACTCAAAGAAAAAAAAAATTTTTCCTTCGAAAGAATTGAGGGCCTGATGGGAAGGAGAAAAAAAAAAAAAAAGACGATCCAGTCGCCTTCGATAGCCTCTTCCAGCCTTTCGAAGCTGGTGAACCAATCGAGACCAAGGAAACGTCACGGTCATGACCGAACTTTCGTGTGATAATGCATTCCGTGCACGAACACCGACTCGATGACATGTATGGAGCAAAAAATCGCGCGTTTCAATACTATTCTGGCGAGCTTACTTAGTATACTTCCAAGGAGTTCAGCCCAGCACAGGCCAAAGGAGAGAGATCAGAGTTGGAAGAAGAGTTCCTTCGAATCTTGTATGTAATGCAACCACCCAAACGGATGCCACGGATGGTCCCTTTCATTCCCAAAAACGTGGGGCGGGTTTTGGGTATAGTTTGATAACATCGAGGAACAGTCGCGTGCAGCCGTTCCTCGTACGGCGGTTATCCAGGAAAGCTATTCCCAGTAACCGGAGGCCAGGAGGACGTTTGGCCGTTGCTTCCGGCCGGCGGAAGATTATTCCAATCGCGAAAATACGTGTCCATGTATGTAAGAATTACTTAGTACTTACATACATTTACGGGGTATGTCATGTAAGTACATCCACAAGCACATCATCAGCTAACGTATGAGAAGGATGGCCCCGGGTCGAGATCCAATTGCAATTTGTTTCCATCCAACAGGATCCCGACATACATGTAGGTCCCCATACTTTTCCCAAGCTTAGCTATATCAAGAAGCACCAAAGCCCAAAGGTTGTCGGAGCCCCCTCCTAACCCCATGCCCTTTTGGAGCTAAGACCACACACCCTGGCCGACGCGCGAGATCAGAGGAGAGCTCGATCGAGACCCTCAAGAGAGGCAAAAAAATGAGGCGGGTATCGTGTTTGAGTCGTTGAGCGATTTCTCGAGAACTCGCACCGTTTCATGTACACCCATCGGCTCCGGGCCCGCAAACTGGGTCCGGCAGGATGATCCAAGTCATCCCGATTGTGGAAGCCAATGGGATGTCTCGTCAGTTTGATCACGAACCCAAATTAGTATTGCCAATTGACCTTCAAACGACCTCGTTATGCATGTGCGATTACTTTTATGTGCCTGTGGACCATGCACTTAAACAACTCAACGTGGGGAACCCTAGGCTGTCATGATAATTACATATAAGTACGGAGCACCGAATGGAAAAAAAGCCCGCAAGGAAGCTATTTTAATATCCCCAGACGAATTGTCAGAGGGCGTGTGATATAAACCCCGTTTTGGAACCCGTTGAGTGATTTTTTTTTCTTATATAATGTCCGTCATTTGATCAAATCCCATCAGGTCCGTCCTCGCTTGAGGCTCCAGCAGGTTGGATCCATGGAGCTCGTCTACGTAGTTGGACAAGGATATATTCTAACCCACAATTATTGCCCTACACGGTGGGCCTCGAGTTTTGTTATACCGTTTTTTTTCGATGTAGAAAGTCAGGCCAGAGGAGCATAAGCAGTTCCGAAATCCGCATCCAAATGTATGCGTACATACATGTATACATTTGGAATAGCTATGAAACAGGCATATATCTCAACCCCGATATATTATCTTCAGAACCCGAGCAGCCTTATAGTGACAGATGTGACCCCCATGCGTGCTAATTAACAACGGATAGATCATGAGGCCGACGAGGTTCCTATATGCACCCCATATCTCCCCATATCCCCACAATTCCCGATTTGATTCTCGTATATCCCTCAAAGATGATCCCCCCCGTGTATACGTTCACGCTCGACAAGTACATAGTAGTTGGTTTGAAGCACGGAAATGTCTAACCTGGATCCCAGGGATCTCAATGCCCGTTTTTGCTACAGATGTCAATTCTTTAAACCGAAAGAGAGAGAAAAAAAGGCCTCTCTGAATTCATTCTCACCTTGGCCGGTTAGACGATCCATTCGGAACTTCCTTTATCGTGCAAGCGTGTGAAACAAACGGTTCCTTACGATCCAACATGTTAAAAGAGTAAACTAGAACCTCTAAGAATGTTCTGAGGAAGGAAAAAAAAACCGTTTTTCTCCTTCCAACTTGCGTTAAGACATATGAAATAGGTACATAGGTACCTACAGGGAAACAAAAGAAAGCATGTGTGCGGCGGACGGGGAGGGGAAGCTGTCAAAAAATAGTATGCGGCCAATAATCCTGCACCTGCATATTCTCCGCATTGGCATTTCTTGGAACTGTATCGATATGGATGGTAGATCTCCCGCGCCAACGGAACATTTTCCTTCCTGTATTCGATACTACATTGTGTAGCATACGCTAACTACCGACACGGTATATAGAAACCTGGTTTGTTCATACGAGGGAACAAGAGACCGAAACTACCGGTCGAAACGAGGACGAATGACCCACCAGCCACTAAACATATGGTTGTGTTCGCCTAGCCAACTTCTAGATTCATCTTATCATCGGATGAATTCTATTCTGAAAATCGATAAAGAGATAAAATCCGGTGGACGAGAAGGCAGACAAGGTTTCACCTTTGCGCAAGCGCTTTAATGCTAGTTTTGTTAGTTCGTTCGTCGGTTTTGAATATAATTTCTTCGACAACTCTGGGCTCAATGGCGTGCTGTCTGCAGATATAGGTACTCCGGAGCTATAGGGTTTTTGTTTGTCCGGTCTGGGTGCATATGCAGTGTCAATGAGTGCAAGTGGGGTCTGGATTGAGGTACTTTGTCAACATGATCGATCAAATGAGGGGTATATGTTCGAACATGTGGTATTTTGTGGAGACACTCGGCATGGCCTAACTCGACAGCACATGGGAGTAAGTACCTAGTCGATTACTAGCATGACGAATGTATATCAAGTTAACATCGATAAGCCTAAATTGCGATTCCGGGATTCTAAGTTGATATATCTTGAGATCGTGCTTGTGGCTTGTGATTTGTGATATGGTCTAGATCTAGATCAATATGTCTTGACATTTATTGATATATATTGGATTATTTCAGATATCGAATATCCACATCGAAGTTACTTATTTATAGATTTATAGCTTCTGGCATTGTGTTATATACATTTCTTTTGCACTTACGATACATATATATTAGTCTTGTTTCCTATATATATATATATACTTTATAGGTAAAGAATGCAATACATGTATAGAGTCGATTCTATCAACTAGTCTGAAGATGCTACAGTTTTGGCAGAGATGGTACAACCCTCAAAAAATTGGGAAGTTAACACACTCTCCTTTGTTAGGTTGGGTATATATATATCTAGTACGTATGGTTTACTATCTAGCCATTAAATTATGCCGGTGAGATTCTACAAGACACTGTTTGTAGATTTGATGTCCATGGCATGCATAGTCCTGTATTAATTTGGACATTAGAAGGAAGGCATCTAGCTAGAAATTCAACAATGCATTGCTGTCTGCAAGTTTAGTGAATATATTTGTCTGCTATATATAGTTACTTAATTTTCTTCTATCGATTGGTTTCCCTTGAAGCTCTCCTCTGGCATACTCAGGAGGGTTGCACCTGTAAATCGCGATTGTAGTGCATTTCGAAATTTTAACTTCGAACATGCGTATTAATATTCACCATCACACTGCTGTAGTAAATCAATTACATTGAAAATCGTAGTCATTAGGAGTAATATCGAGGGGCTGCATTATCGGACGACACTATAGGTTTTTGTTTTTTTGGTATTTATGATAGATATCAATGCGGAACATGGAAATACTTGAACTAGAGAATACATTTAGAAGCTGTCGAATCTTGTCAGATTCCTTCGGACTTTCGGGGCTACACAGGGCATATTCGCTTTCGAGCTAAGAATACAACCCCAAAGAAGAAGAAGGGTAACGAGCACTGGTCAAATCGATAGATGGTACAAAGGAGAGAATACAACAACGTTGCTGTAACTGACTAAACTACTACGAAACAGGATCGGATTCAATCGAATACTACACGAAAATGCATTTCTCATAAGACGTCCCGTAGCTAATAGGAACCACGATTAGTGATCCGTTTCGTGATAAACATGGGGATACACCTAGATATGGATAGGTAGGTTACCCGATTACCAGGTTTGAACCCATGGGTTCCCAGTGTTTCTGGGAATGAAATCTATGTGTACATGTCATTTTTGAAGGAAAAGGAAACAAGGAAACAAGGAAAGCAAAAACGCCGAAGAAACGCCACCATGAATTTTAAAACGGAACGGTAAAGGGGTGATAGGAAAAGTATGTATGTCTCGTTAAGAAGAATGAACAAGGAAAAGAATCGTGACCACTGGGCTTCTCGGAATGTATCCAATGAAGCCTCGTGTGGCCACTGGGAGGCATTATAAAGATGTCGAGGCAAGTGCTTAAAAAAGAAGACAACATGCGCAGCGCACAATAAGAGAATACAAATATAAAATAAGAAATATTTAAGCTGGTGTTTACTGTTGGCCTGGTTGTTGGTATATCAATGGAGCGTAGCCGCCCCCAAATCCACCAAATCCTGGAACAGAGGCTGTGATCGGAACTTCGGTGTTAACATCTCTGTCGGGTCCGCCGTTGTAGTCCCGCCTGTTACCACTGTCGTAGTTGTTGGAGTTGTCCCGATCAAATCGCTGGAACGAGGATTTAGGTCCTCGTGCGCCAGCGTGATCGGTCTGCATACGTCGGCTGATCGCCTTGGAGGAAACACCTTGTCCGATTTCGATGTCTGGCTCTTCGAGGACAAGGCCGCCTTCAATTGGTCGGTCGCCAATGCCACCAAATTCGGCGGTTTGAAGCCATCTGCGGTCTGCATCAGTCAATCTGTCGAGTGCAATCTCGCTGATACCAGTGGCATAATCGCAGCAGTCACGTGGTCCAAAACCGACACCCCATCTTGTCTAAAATAAGGAGTCAGTACCATTGAATGCAATGTATTCTATACGTTATGGAAGGAGACATACCCTGAGGACGCTATGGGGAAGGCGATGAGTTTCAAGAGCTTCCTTGGCTCTGACAGCGTCGCCTCGAGTTTTCATTTTGATGAATGCATGCCTTTTCTCGAAATTGACGATACAAGACTGAACTTCGCCGTGTTGTTGGAAGAGCTGTCTTAGTTCTTGCTCAGACGACCTGCGCGGGACATGGGTTAGCTAGCGTCGGGTTATATTGGGAATGACGATGAGAAGGTACTTACGAGACACCACCAACGAACAATGTTCGACTGTAGACACGAATCCTGTCCGGTTTGAGGGACTCGTCATATTCAACAAATTTCTGGCCGGGTGGGGGGTGAGAACGAGTATCCCAAAGATCCTGTTGTCGCTGTGGGCTGGCAGATCGATCTCTACGATAGCCTCCTCTAGCAGCATTCCCACCCCCACGATTACCTCTACCGCCTCGCTTGCCAAACTCGCGTTCTCGACCATCATTACCTCCGTTACCAGAGTATTCACCGTAGACGGGGCTTCTACGTCTGACTGGTGGCTCATCGCCGTAACCAGGGGAACGAGAACGGGACCGTCTAAATCGATCACGTCCGGGGGAGAATGGACCACCGCTACGACGTTCTTCGTACCTATCGTAGGGGTTTGGTTGTGTGGGTTGCTGCCACGCTTGGTTATACGCAGGCTGTCCTGGCAATTTGGCCTGTTCTAATGCTTGTGCGAGGTGGTTCTGACCCAGGCCCTGCGTAAGCATCTGAAGCAGAGCCAGCTGCGTCATAACATTTGGATCCTGTTGGGGCAAGCCAATATTTTGGAAAGCTTGTTGTTGAGCAGGCGGTGCAGGTTGAGGGGGGGCACCAAAATTACCACCAAGGAGGCCGGGAAGAAGGCTCTGGAGATTTGTAGCAGCGGCAGCAGTTGGCTGTGGCTGGGCTCCAAAGTTGGAGAGAGAAACGGGAAGGGTCGATGGAGCGGGTGTAGCCGAAGCACTGCCCAGGCCAGCGAAGTTTGGGATCTGTGAAGGCGGCGGCTGCGTGGTTACTGGGGCCACAGCCGGAACCGGAGTTGAAGAGGGATTTGATTTTGTCATTTGTGCGAGAGCCTGCAAGATAGCAGCAGTATTGGGGGCGCTGGCTGGATCAGACTGTACCATAGACTGGGTAGCAGGAGCATTGGAGAATGGGAGGGAAGCATTTGGGACTAGCATTGTAAGGTTGGCTTTGAGTCAGAACGAGAAGCAGAAGAGAGAGGAGATGCTAAATATGCTGGATATAAAACTTACAGGTGTTGTCGGTGGCAGGCGACTGCTGCGGTGACGACGAGAAGTGTTTGGAACGGATTGAATTGATGAGATCGGCTGGGAAGGTAGAGCCTCTTTGCCAAATGTCCATGAGCTTCTTGATCTTTTCCTATACGTTTACAAAGGGGTTCGTGTAAGCAATTCCGGTTCGCATACGAGTCTAATATTCATCGGCAGCAATTTAACGGTAGCGGCAACGGCAACGGCAACGGCACAGCGCTATTCTCCAAGGAGACCACATGCACAAGGCTAGAACATTTCGAAGAATCGAAGAATCGAAGAATGCGTGGCACAGCACGAGGACTGGCGTGTATGGCTTCTCCTGAACCGAGAGTCATGCGCTTCGCTTCGCTTCGTTCAAATAACAGTGGTTGGCAAAGCGGCGCAGAAGTTAGGAAACTTCCATGGAGTTATCCCGCGCGATAAGCTTATACATCTTAAAAAAGAAACCACAGCCTAGCATTAAGAGATAGAGAAACAGTTGGCCATTGCATGCATGCATCTTATGGTGGTCGGTCGTCTTGTGTCTTAGTCTTAATTTGCAAATATTTCAGGCTTACCTTGGTGTCTTCGGGAGCATGAATCATGATGTCGTTCATTAAGCTTGACAGGAGGCCGGTGATCCTATGAACACCAGCGCTAAATGTACCGTCGGGTCCTTCCTGGGTGGGATCCTGACCGGCTTTACGGGCCTCATCTATGTATGCTCGAACAATGGAATCTACGGCATACAGCACGCCTAGTTTGTGTGTACCAGGTGTCTTCTTGAAATGAGTGTAGAGCTTTTGAATCAGGATGGATTCGGACTGGAGGATACAACATATGGATGTTAGTTTTACTGTGTGCATTCCAACGAAACAGTGCCGGGTATCAAGCCGGGTGTCGTATAACAGATATGGAAAGTTGGCCCTCGTGTTTTTTTTTTTTTTTTTTTTTCTTCAGAAAAAAGAAAAACAGGGAGGGGAGGGGGGGGGAAAAGAGGCATCGAGACAACAGTGCGATATGTGTATTATACGAGCAGTATGAAGGGAGGAGTGGGTGGGTGGGACCAACCTGAACATTTTCAATACTTATTTCTGTCAGGGACTTGATTTTGGAACCAGAAACACCGGGAGGCTTCAGGCCTGACATTTGTGCCAGGAGGTTCCCGAATTCCTCGACAGCCTTGTTTTCTGCCATAATGATACGCGGCAGAAGTTGGCTTGGACAAGCCGGGAAATCTAGAATTTGTTTTCTCGTTTTTATTCGGATGCAACCGCTTCAGGAGCGTTGCGATAGCGGTTACGACGGGTGAAGGTGACGGTGTTTTATAACAGTACGTATTCCAGTACCAGATGTGATTTCTCTCTGGGGATTTCTAATGATAGCGTCTTGCTTCCTAGAGCTCGAATTCCACGATACAGGCCTGGTCCGCGACTCGAGGAATTTCAGATCAACTTCACACTTTTCTCGGGTTTAACAACTCGAGCACGTATAAGATCCAGGAGGCTTAAAAAGAATACGCGTTGGTTCTAGAGCGTTATCAAATACAGCTCCTTTCAGATGATTTAATGATAATGATGACGTGTGGCGTGTATGTGGCGACTGATAACAGCAAATTGAATTTTAGGATCTCGATGTCACTCAACCTTACAAGCGGGAGTTTTTCGTCGACGAGAAGCTCTTGTGGGCTATACAAGAAGCGTGCAATACGTGAGTTTTTCTTCTTTCTTTTCTCTTAGAAATCGGTCGGATTGCTGCAGAGTCTGAGAACCAGAGTCTCTCCCTCTTAGCTATCAGTAGTTATATCTGGCGAAAAGACTTTGTGAAATTTTTTTTAGTTCAATTTCTTCTGCGTAGTTGATGATGATTAACAACAGGCAACAAAAAAAGACGCGATTCCGAAATGATTAGCTAGCCTCCTTTCTTCCGGAAGAATGTTTTTTTTTTTTGGCGAAGGATAAAAAAAACCAGCCAAAAGCAGTAGACAGGAGTGGAGTATCGATAGGGAATAGGCGAGGTGAGGAGAAAGATGTGAGTTGTAAGGGTTGGAGGGTCGGGAGAGAGTCGAAAGAGAATTCAAGATGGCGATAGGTGACGTTGATGTCGAAGTAGACGGAGAAGGTTGATGGACGGATGGTGATGACAGGATGATGTGAAGGGGAGAAGGGCAGGCGGAAAATGGGAATGGGAAATGAGGGGGAATATTTTTGTACTCATTTTTTTTGTGACAGAAATGATTTGTGTGGCTGACTCAGCCAACACACCAGCACAGAACACAATCAACACAGCCAACACAGCCAACACATCAACACATCAACACATCAACACATCAACACACTCTACATATTTCACACACACACCCACACACCAACGCATATATTTGGGTAGTAGGTACACATCTACACCAACGTTAACTAAGTACTTACTTAACTTACATGTCATTCACCGATAGACTTCGACATACCTCAGACTACCCATGGATATCACATATATCATGTGCGTCAAAAGTACCAAAGTGTATATAGAAGGTAGGTATGCGCAACCGCTGTGTGCTCGTCCACAGGCCCGAAGCACATCTTCCAGCCGTGGCAACTGGAACTGCCACACTAAACCCCAACCGACCGGCTGTCCGTTGGGCCAGCGGTGGTTCTGGTGGGCCCCCACTCGGCCTGCCTGCTTGGTGTTCTTCCCTGCCCGTTTTCCGAGCCGAAGACAGGCCCCAAAGAAAATTTCACAGGCCGGATTGCGAGGTTTTTCCTGCGGTCCAAGATCGATTGATCCCCAATCCCGGAGAGATATGCTAGTCAGTATAATTATAATACCTCGAACCTAGGGAAAAGAAAGCAAATGGTCGATGGTATAGGTATAGGTACAGGTACAGGTACAGGTACAGGTACATGTAAATATACATACTGACTTAAAGTACTCTACCAATTGATCGGGCTTGTGCCAGACCGTGTCAGTGTCAGCCTGTGCTTGTCCGTCCGGTTCCTTCAAAACCTTTCCCTTCGCCAACAGTTTTTTTCTCGCTCTTTTAAAGCTTTTCTTCTGGATCTCCATTGCATCCATTCCTTCCTCCTCGCAGGTTACTATCACACCACTCCTCTCCTCTCCTCTCCTCTCCTATCTCATATCCACACACACATCCATCCCCAATGGCTTCTCTTAGGATTGCATCTTCCGCCCTGCGCGGAGTCGCTAGACCAGCTTTCGTTTCCACTCGTTCGGCCGGTTTCACTGCTGCTCGTTGTCTCAGCACCAAGGTACGACGTCATTGCTGTCCGTTCTGCACAAATCGTCAAACATCGGACGAACAATATGTGTATGAAA